ATCCTGCCAGCACTGTGGTATGTACATGCTGTTACCAATCTAGCAGCGCATTACATGCCCAGTTATTATTTGAGTCCATGGTCGATCCCAACATTTTCTCAATGGCTAAGGTTTGGGCTGGTTTGAAATGTCATGACACATTTGGTTGGTTCGGAAATAAGCAGTGCATTGATGAACTGAAATCGTAGAAGCACAACGCACAGATATTTGAAAACTCTTCTCTGCTAACCAGCAAGCACGCCTAAAACTCCACCAGCCAGGAGCACGCCTCGGTGCGCGGAGGCAACGCTAAGGGAAGTAGAAAGTCACCCTAACACCAAGTGCTGCCGTTGACCTGCAATGTCACGATCGGATGGTGGGAGCCAGGGTCAGGGCAGGGCGTAATGTGGGTTCTGCTCATCACAGAAATCCAAGCGTTCAAAATGTTCGGACGAATTACGAGGAAAACATTTTAAAAGGTATTTTATCATCCCCTGGTGGGTCCGAACAGAAGCTTTACCCGCCTCTGCACCCAAAGAACATCTCGCGCTTTGGGCTACCATACAGGAAATTGCAAAACGAGCCATAGCACCGCGGTAAGTGTCTCGGCTGCAGGATGACAGGCTACGCCAGCACCGTCCGGGCCTCCCGGGCACGAAGCAGTGCTCCACGGCGAGGTCTGGCGCTTCGACCCCGGCGTGGAAGCTGCCTCCCCGGCCCTCCTGCCTGATCGAATCCAGTATGGAAGCTATCTCCCCGGCCTCGTTCCTGATCGGCCCCGGTATGGGAGCTGCCTCGCCGGCCCTCGTACCTGATCGGCCCCGGTATGGAAGCTGTCTCCCCGCCCTCGTTCCTGATCGGCCCCGGTATGGAAGCTGTCTCCCCGCCCCTCGTTCCTGATCGGCCCCGGTATGGAAGCTGTCTCCCCGCCCCTCGTTCCTGATCGGCCCCGGTATGGAAGCTGTCTCCCCGCCCCTCGTTCCTGATCGGCCCCGGTATGGAAGCTGTCTCCCCGCCCCTCGTTCCTGATCGGCCCCGGTATGGAAGCTGTCGCCCCGGCTCTCGTTCCTGATCGGCCCCGGTATGGAAGCTGTCTCCCCGCCCCTCGTTCCTGATCGGCCCCGGTATGGGAGCTGTCTCCCCGGCCCTCGTACCTGATCAGCTCCGGTGTCCAGTGTCACGACGCTCTGTGCTGGACCCGGACGCTTCAGGCGCGACTGGCCGGCCGCGCTCGCGATCGTCACTGCCTCACCGGAACGACGACGCGCCCCTGTTGCCATGGCGACCGCGCGCCGAGGTCGACCGCTGCCTCGGGTCGCGTCCGCGTGCTACGGCCAGGAGGTGTTGCAATGCAATCGGACCAGCTGAACTCAGGAGCATGACGCAGTCTCGCCGGATAGGTGGCAGCGGAACCCCGTGTCGGCCTGTGAAGAAGCGGGAGGGGGCAGACGCGGCGAGCAAGCCCGTTTGGGCTCGTGCCTCGTGTCAATACAGTGTCATGACATTAAGGAGTGTTCAACATTTTTATATGGTTTTGAACTGAATTTTTTTTTAAGGTCATTTGGTGCAATTCCGAAACCTGTCCTTCTTAAGACCAAAATCCCTCCAGTTTCTGAGCTAATATGTGCTGAGAAGACTTGTCTCCAGTCCCACGAAGATGTGCCGTTTATTTAAGATGTGCCGGGAGACTGTTTAGAGGTCACCGAGGCATTGACGACGCTGTAGTAATGTCATTAAAACCCTGCCATTCCATAAGCCATACGACGATCAAGGGCACGAAAAATATAATTGTCAAGGCGTTCATATCTGACGTTTGTGACCACGATTCCCAGACGTCACTGCCTTCAATTGGCCCTCATTGTTGTGCAAGGTGCGATGACGTAATAAAACCACGACGCGTTGCGGAGCATATTTGCTAAACAGAGAATTGTGCTGTCTAGAGCAGTCTTTTTCACTTAAAAAGTGTTCTAATAGCTATAAGTGGGCCTGTTTGATGATATCTGATATATAATTATTGGACCACCTGAAGAGATCAGGGATGTTGTTGCATCAATGAAGGCTACTACGTCGATTCGGATTAAACTGCGTGGATCAGAAGGCCTCTCGCGTTAGGGAGGAGGCCAGTGTGATATGATGCATCACCCCCAGAAAAGTCTTCGGATGGGCCAGGCGATCCCGTCCCGTGTCGCCAGAATGGCAGCCGGAAGACACCCTGCAAAGAGACGGAATGGTCCTTCAGCCCTTGGCCGGGAACAAAAATGTGCCCCCTAGTGTTCTACTCAGGGGGCCGCTTTCTCGGAAAGAAGTAAGGGACCTCATATGCGCTGAAAGGGGGAGGGGCGGGCGAAATTAGTTAAAAAACGAACAAAGTCATCCCATGCTTGTCAGAAAACGTTTATTCTTTTGTAGAATCAACTAGTGAAGCAAACTGCATCAAAAACTTTGGGCCTGTGCGCGCGCAATTTCGAAAGCTAGGACAGCGATGGCCTGGGTGGCAGTTCTGTCAAACCGAGCGGCGTTGGCCACTGCAACATCGGGAGGCGGGCGCTGTGCGCGCGAGAACGACTCATAAAAGAATGGTTCCGAACGTCTTTCAAAATGAATTCGTATGGTTCGAAGATGAGACTGGGCGTATCTATTTACAACTTAAAAATTGTCCTCTGGACAGAGACACAATTACAGCAATACGAAAAACCGAGACGTTTCCTTTAATCTTCCAGCTTGACCACCATATTCCTGATTTGCGGTGTTGTAAAGTCCAGTCCACTCTTATCTTCAATTTAAAAAACCCACAGCTGAAATACACACACGGACTACCTTCTCAAAGTTCGATTTGATGTTCAACAGCGTTCAGAGATACTTCTTTCAAATGCGTCATTTTCGCCCACCCGTTGCCCACAGCTTAGTGTTAGCCGCCAGGCCGACACTGCGCGACCTCCCGAGACTGCAACATCTGGCATTGAGGTCTTCGTTGCCAAGATTTGTGAGCGCGGATGCTAAAACTATGTTGCCAAATTTGTATCACTTATCAATTTTGACTGAATATTAAGCATTTTCAGAAAACATGGGTTGGCCATGTTAATACACAATGTTGACCCATTTCAATATACATTCGCGGTGTCATTAATATCTCTGCTCAGCCCAGATAAGGCTTATACAGAGTCCACTGGACCATTCTAAAATGAAAAACGCCGGTGATTTATTGCATGCAGTCGCTTAATGCACGACTTCTTCAGTTCATCGACCAACAACTCAGGCAGAATTGATCTCGCGGTAGATTCTGGCTTTTGTTCAAGCGGTAGAATGTAACGATGAAAAGATATCAAAGAAACATGCCCTCATTAACATATGGGCCATGTCCGGCGATTTTTTGGAGGACAGCACTTGGCAGACAGCACTTGGTGTGCCTAGTATACGATATTCTGGCAAATAAGACATATTGTAACTAAGATAAGCTTTCTCGCCGGGGTCCAGTCTGTGGTCTGAGGGGAAGGCTCGGCCAAACAAATATGCGCAGATGATGGCAGATCAGACAGACATCAGATGTGCAGTCTGGGGCACCCCGCTGCCCGGCGGCTGGGCCGGCGGGGCAGCTGCAGCAGCAGCAGCAGAGGTCATGGCAGAGGTCACGGAGCGCAGGGGTCGTGACCTTAGCGACCCGGATGCCGGCCTCGGCCACTGTCTGTTGAGCGTGACGAAGTCGATGCCTTCACAGACGGTCTGTTTGACTCTTTGCCTGCCGATGATAAAGCTCACGCGACGCGACGCTTCCGGGCTCCTCCGCTGAGGAATGCTTCGATATGAGGGGCGCTCTCTCTCAGTATCAACATCCATGAGATTATGAAATCACAGTAGCATGTATGCCACCCATAACGCAAGCGTAACTGCTTCTTCATACCACACACACGCACACGCACACGCATACGCATGACTATATCACACCTTTGAAATTTTACTCAAGCAAACGGTCGTTTCACCACACCCGTTAACACATCTAGGCAGATTACCAAGACAGGTGTCGCCCTTTTTCAGGACTATACCAAAGCAAAATACATGTTCTTATTTCAGCATTCGCTCGTGCAGTTTTTAACGATTGGTGGGACAGCGAGATTGTGTTTCGGTTCTGCCTCTGCAAATTAATTCCAAACCCGACCCATGGTGCGTGGCACTGATGTTGTTTTTCGCTCAATGCAACCAAACATTACATTGAGCAATGTTCCGTTGCATTGAGCGAAAAGCGACATCAACACCACGCACTATGGATGGTTTGAAATTAAGTTAGCATTTGTAGCTACACCCGTCGAAACGCATTAAACACGTCTCCTGACAAGATTTGGACAAGATTTAAGTCCATTCCTGCCAAAGTAATTTAAAAGATGACGCCTTCTGGAATACATAACCCACCAAGACACGTCTGTTAACGAACAATAGAACAAGCATTGAGTAATGCTGAATAATATGCAAGTCATAAAAATGATGACAACATCAGTGACCGCTGTCAGAACAGATGGTCAGCTCCGGCCCGTGGGCCACAACGGAAATTTGGGGGTTAACCCGCGCGGCTGGGAGACCAGAGGTACCCGCCCTTTCTGCCAGGGTGAGAGGCAGGCGACGCTATGCAGCCTCCGTAGCTGACAGCGTCGTAAAGCTCCAACGACACGACGGTTGCTGTTAATGGGGTAGCCATCTCTGTGTAAGCGTGGTTCTCAGGGCTGCGAAGGTCGGCCTTCTGCTCCCGCGTCAGCTATCGGAACATCTGGCCTGCTTCCCAAGGACTCAATCGCTTTTTAAAAAGCTGCGAACGTTAGTTGTTAAGTGCATTAGCGAGGAACATTATTCACACAGATAAGACAGAACTATTAGCCTTATTCCTTCGGGAAACCAGGAGAATGGGGATATAACTTGGCTGATATTTCGGCAACATGCCTTTATCAAAACAAAAGCAGAAGTGAATTCACTCCTGCTTTTGTTTCGATAAAGGTATGTTGCCGCAGAAAAAGCAGAAGTGAATTCATTCCTGCTTTTGTTTCGATAAAGGTATGTTGCCACAGAAAAAGCGAAAGTGAATTCACTCCTGCTTTTGTGTCGATAAAGGCACGTTGCCGAAATATCAACCCAACTATATTTCCATTCTCGCGGTTTTCCGAAGAATAAGGCTAATACTACTGTCTTATCTAAGCTGCGAACGGTCGCGATCCGCTGACGGCGAAGGGACATCAAAACAGTAGGGCATTGGCGTGAATGTCTTTATTTCAAAATCAACAAATGACAACAGACGGGTTAACGCACATGCCAATACGGATTCATCACAAGTGTATAGACAAACAGAGCCAGCACAACAGCAGCCGTCCCCCTACTGACGAGATCGCTGCGTCGTCCCAGACATGCCGATCGCTCTGGCCCACAGTCGTCCGCGCCAGGACACCGTCGGCACTGACGCAGTGCTGCTCTCAGAAATACGCACAGCACTTGGTGTTATTCTACTCCACTCGCCGGGCGGAAGTATGGGACACGGGCGTGTTATGCTGTGTTAATGGCTGGCCCACTTGGGGCTTGATCACTGCCACCTATAGGCCTACATGCACCAACCAACCGATTTTGTACACAAAACAGACCATTTTATCTGTGTGGGCATAATGCGTGCGTTGACACGCCTATGCCACTTTCAAACAAAGTGGGTCAAGTCGCTCCAAAAGCGGCTCCCTATGTTTGAACAGAGGCGAAAGAGGACGCGACGTTCCTAAAAATAGTACGCCGACATACAGACACGCGATAGCCTGAACTAAAAAACAAACAAAATTGTCTCACATCTTACCTTTAAAGCACAGCTGTACGATTATCAGATTATCATCCTGTCTGACCGTGTCAACCGCATTGCCCTGACCTTTAACCGTCAGCTGCCAACGGAACGCTCCCCTCCCCAACCCCACCCCTCCCACCCATGACGTCACAGTCACATCGCGCATCGTTTGTTGGCTTAAGGCCGGCGTCGGCCAGCCTCAGACAGGCAGAACCCGCCGGATGCCCGGCACAAGCTCGCTGTGGATGCACGCGCGTCCTGGCCAGCTACCGGACCCGTCACCCCCTGGGCCCAGTCTCAGCCGCGCGCCGGCGTCCGTCGCCGGACAGCAGCGCGCGAGACCGACTCACGCCCGCCGGGCCGCCGCCTGACTGCGTCGGACGCGAGCACGCGTCGCTTGCGAGCCGGTGCCGACCGCTGACCGGTGTCGGTTCACTACAAACCGAAGGCAACGACGGTGGGGCGCGACCCGGCAGCGCGCAGCTCTGCCAGCCGGTGACACGGCTGGTGCCGGGGAAGCCGACCCTCCGACCCGCTTCGATGATACGACCCGTGCAGGGGAAGCCGACCTTCGGACCAGCCTCATCGCAGCAGGCCGCTGCGAAGCGGGGACAGGGCGACGAGCCCAGCCTCTTGGCAGCGGACGTCGAATCATGTTCGCCCGGGGTGCGGTGGGTGGTATTTGTCTCTGAGGGCAGGAGAACAACGTGTTGGACGACAGACACGTACAGGCACGAGACACGCACGCTCACATAACCTCGAACAGTTGACTGAGCAACAGGCGGCTTTTTACTGTTTATTCATGTCTCAACACCTTACGTCACTGGGTACCAGCCCTGCCCGTGCAACTCGTCAGCTTTTATTTGTTCCCCATCCGCAGAGTAATAGAGCCTTCAATACTGGGGGAGAGACGCAACTGCGCGTTGTCTCGCACATTCCTTCCAAGGTTCGAACCAGTTGCGCCCGGCCAGCGCCCTGTCTTCCATCGCGCATTGCACTGATGCAGGCCGGTTCTGCACCCCGTGGGAAAACCGCGGAATCCCCATTCCTCCGCCTCGCCCGGGCTCTTGAGCTATCAGCGCAGCTGGACTGGGTGTCGGCTCCCAGATGTCAGGAGGGTGCCTGGCCGGGGCCAGATCGCAGGGTCAGTGACAGGGTCAGGGGTCAGCTACCTGGCCAGAGGACGGGCCGCGGTCAGAACTGATTGTCAAACGTTGGCCGCCAGAAGTACTCGGCCGGCTCTGGAACAGACGGACGCCGGCCAGCTGGGTTAGTCGAGCGGCACAGCAGACGTGCGGCACAGCACAGTCGAGCGGCACAGCACAGATGCGCGGCACAGCACACCAACACGCCGCGGCACAGCTCGGCGCAGCTCGGCGCGGCACAGCACAGCAAGCATGCACGGACAACACAGAAAAAAAACAACAACAGGGTAAACAAGTAATCTGGAAATTGTGAAAACAGCGGGAAAAGAAGCAGAACACGATCCAAATCAACATGTTAAGGCATGGGTGACCGCAAAAGCCTACTTATTCTACCAAACAGTGTCATAAAATTGTTTAAAGTCTCTTCCACAAAAACGTTTCTGTAAAGCTCAGTGCGGGATACCATCACCCATTTTACAGCAATATTCAATGGTTGATTCTCGCAATTCTGTGTGAGAAGCTCTTCAGATCACATAAAAAACCTCAAAAGAAAAAAAAACACACGCATGCCTTACGGTTCATGATATTGAGTGAACTCGCGGCGAATAATACAAGAAGGTGATTACGGTAAAACAAATACATCTCGTCCAGGAGCCATACACAATTACAATAAAATGTATGAGCGTTGAGAGGGAGCATCAAGGATAAACAATATATGAAGAAGCCAACGCGTTATGCAACACTGCAGCGGTTTGTCCCGTTTTTGGCAAGAGCGGGCTGTTGGGCTGTATTCCGGTTTGTCCGCGAGCCCACCACGCAAAATCGGATTAGAAGTAGCGTCAAAGGGGGCCACATACATCAAGCGCCACACTTATGACGGTCACACGTACATATCAGCCTACTGATCGCCCTTCGGCACTATCTTGAATGTCACGGAGGCCACGCGTGCTGCAACAGAGGCGACCATGGCACACGTTGATACCAGGGCATCTTAGTAGAACCGACCATAATCGTCAAGTTCCACGCGATCTTTCTGCGGCCACACACCCGTCGCTCTAAGGTCCATAGCATCGCTTCACCAGTCGTCACCGAACTATGTGGCAAATCGAGGCAGTGCACCGCCAGGGTACCTGCACAACGCCACCGTAATCCCTCACTCTTTCTAGGGGTTGCGCGGGGATGCAAGCTCACTTTTCGGTGTGGACGTCTTCTTGACCATGGTTTTGGTTTTGGTGGTGGCGGCGGCGGGCGCGTCGTCCTCGTGTTGGCTGCCGCTGTCCGAGCTCTCCGCCGCCGGCTGGGAGCCAAAGGACGAGTGCCTGCGCGCAGACAGGTGCGGTCATTCGGGCAGACAGGTCCGGTCACTCGGGCAGACGGTCCGGTCATTCGGGCAGACAGGTCCGGTCACTCGGGCAGACGGTCCGGTCACTCGGGCAGACAGGTCCGGTCACTCGGGCAGACAGGTCCGGTCACTCGGGCAGACAGGTGCGGCCACTCGAGCAGAAGGGACCGGCCACTCGGGCAGACAAGTCCGGTCACTCGGGCAGACGGTCCGGTCACTCGGGCAGACAGGTCTGGTCACTCGGGCAGACAGGTGCGGTCATTCTGGCAAACGGGTCCGGTCACTCTGGCTCATCAGTCTCCAAGGCAGCGTGGCATGTGTGGCACGAAAAAGGCACGTTGCTGCTGTAGTGATGGTAACTGCCTGGAGGGTTCCACTAGTGTGACCAGAGGCGCCAAAAGGGCTCCACCATTGCGACGCGGGGTGCAGAATAGCCCCAGGTTGACAAAGGGTGCTTTTGCAATAGTGATGCGATTTGTACAATTTTGCACTCCCTGAGATGTCCTATATGCCTAGGAAATCAGTAGTGATGCATGTCTAAGCACCATAGCAGCCTCGGAATGTCAACTAGCTGACTTATACTTTCTCATTCTGTGCATTAAGCACCGAGTGCCCACCCCATTCAAATCGTTTTGCTCGTAACAAATACACTGCCCCATACCCAACAACGCCAAGACCGCCCCAGTTGACGCCAAGGGCAGCTCAGCTGACGCCAAGGACAGCTCAGCTAACGCCAAGGCCGGCTCAGCTGACGCCAAGGACGGCTCAGCCGACGTCAAGGACGGCTCAGCTGACGCCAAGGACGGCTCAGCTAACGCCAAGGCCGGCTCAGCTGACGCCAAGGACGGCTCAGCTGACGCCAAGGACGGCTCAGCTGACGCCAAGGACGGCTCAGCTGACGCCAAGGACGGCTCAGCTGACGTCTCACCTGGCGAAGGGCGGCTGGTCGAACAGCGAGCCGCGTGGGAAGGTCATAGGCTTGTCGAACAACGACCTGACCTGACCGTGCACGCCCCAGAGGCCTGGCAGCCGCTGACGAGGCGAGCCAGGCTGGTTCAGCCGCAGAGGGTCGCTCAGCAGCAGCGAACGCTGCAACAAGACGGCATAATACCGGGTCAGCATGGGACGGCGCCGGGTCAGCACGGCACGGCGCCGGATCAGCACAGCAAGGCGCCGGGTCGGCATGAGACGGCGTCGGGTCAGCACGGTACGGCGCGGCTACACCGGCACTTAAGAGGCTGGCAGCAGCGGGCTAACGAAGCTGGAAGCTGGAAGGAAGCTGTTCCTGCGAAGCTTTGCGGGATATCGTCACGGAGCGGCGGGTCAGGCGCAGTGATCCGATCAACACGCCGCGATAGCAAGAGACATTCACCGACGGTACCATGACATTCAAGGATCCTGCAACCGTGCAGTGTGCACAAAACACAGTACGCTTCCTCTGAAGGCGTTTCTTGAACATCAATCTTGTAAGCATGATACTGGTTCCTACAGCTCTCCACAAGCCATCCAAGCTCCTTCGCCATCACCTACCGGGCTCGATTTTCTCACCTTAGCGGGCGAGTCCTCCATGTCCATCCGCTTGTTGAGGTTCTTGACGCGATCCATCAGAGAACCGAACAGCGACTCGGCAGTGAAGATCTCGAACTGGTCATCCTCGTCGTCGTCTTCGCCGCCCGAGCTCAGGCTGTCCGACGAGGGCGCCATCTTGGGCCGGGACAGCCTGCCGACGCAAACGAGGCAACGCCGATCTCGCGTAAGCGCTTCCCCGGGGCCGCCAAACGAAAACGAAAGAAAACGTGCGCTGACGTCAGAAGTCCGTCCATTCAACCATAGTATGACACCCGTGCGTGGTTAGCCGTACTTACATGAATAATTTTGATATGATATCCACTTATACAATAGATACGTCCGTCCATTCAACCATAGTATGACATCCGTGCGTGGTTAGCCGTACTTACATGAATAATTTTGATATGATATCCACTTATACAATAGATACGTCCGTCCATTCAACCATAGTATGACACCCGTGCGTGGTTAGCCGTACTTACATGAATAATTTTGATATGATATCCACTTATACAATAGATACGTCCGTCCATTCAACCATAGTATGACACCCGTGCGTGGTTAGCCGTACTTACATGAATAATTTTGATATGATATCCACTTATACAATAGATACGTCCGTCCATTCAACCATAGTATGACACCCGTGCGTGGTTAGCCGTGCTTACATGAATAATTTTGATACGGTATCCACTTATACAATAGATACGTCCGTCCATTCAACCATAGTATGACACCCGTGCGTGGTTAGCCGTACTTACACGAATAATTTTGATACGGTATCCACTTATACAATAGATGCGTCCGTCCATTCAACCATAGTATGACACCCGTGCGTGGCTAGCCGTACTTACATGAATAATTTTGATATGATATCCACTTATACAATAGATACGTCCGTCCATTCAGCCATAGTATGACACCCGTGCGTGGTTAGCCGTACTTACATGAATAATTTTGATATGATATCTACTTATACAATAGATACGCCCGTCCATTCAACCATAGTGTGACACCCGTGCGTGGCTAGCCGCACTTACATGAATAATTTTGATATGATATCCACTTATACAATAGATACGTCCGTCCATTCAACCATAGTATGACACCCGTGCGTGGCTAGCCGTACTTACATGAATAATTTTGATGTGGTATCTACTTATACAATAGATACGTCCGTCCATTCAACCATAGTATGACACCCGTGCGTGGCTAGCCGTACTTACATGAATAATTTTGATGTGGTATCTACTTATACAATAGATACGTCCGTCCATTCAACCATAGTATGACACCCGTGCGTGGCTAGAAGTACTTACATGAATAATTTTGATGTGGTATCTACTCATACAATAGATACGTCCGTGTATTCATTCGGTGTCTTACTCCAACTTTCGTGGCCATGACATACCGCGCTGACGGATACCTACGATCGTTCAGGACTCGTCATCTTGCACTCGCCCGGAGAGCCCTTCGTCGGCGGACATTACCTGCTGCTGGCGATGGGCCAGCCGACCAGGTCAGGCAGCGGTCTGTCATCGAAGCAGCGCATGGAAGTGAGCCTCTGCAGGCCCCAGGGGGCGCCCCAGACGTCCTCCCTGGCGGCCCGGTCTCCCAGCAGGCTTCTGCCAGTCCCCGCCAGGCGGCAGCACCGTTAGTCACAGACGCGGCGGCCGCGTTCGCGCGGGCGGCGGGCCCGTCCCCGCGCCGCCAACCAGGAGGCAAGGTCTCGCACGTGCGGAGAATGAGGTTCAAGCCGTTTACCAACTGCCAGTTAGATGCGGTCGACAGCATCAATTCACATACCGACTGGCCCGATAGTTTTTGAGAAACGTGAGACCTGTTCTGGTTGGCGAGGCGGAAGCGGAACCACCAGCACGACAACTGATAGGCAGGAATCACACAAAACTGGGAATAAAACCTCGCAAAAAGGGGCTCGTCAAACGCATGCAGATCATGGACGATCATAAAAAGCAATAGTGACGCCGAGGGACGAAACAGGAGCATCCTGGTAGTGCCATGCAGCAGAAGTATCATGCCTAATTTTATCACGATCAGTCGGACAACGCAACGATTGATTTGCATCATGCTGTCGTTGGGATATTGATATACAGGCTTCGATAAATCCAACACCAACATCCTATGACGCATTTTGCGTGGTATGGTTCAAGACACCGACTCAAAAGACAGGAGAAAAAGGATATCTGAATGGGGTCAAGATACCAGCTGCTGTTCTTTGTCACTGACATCCCGCCCCTCCACAGAGGACAGGCCGACAAGCAATCCTGATCTAGCTTACGTTCGTCACCAACAAAAACCACTTCCACAAAGGGGGCCCCAATCCTCCCGCGCCGGCACTGCGGCTCCCGCCCCCGCCCCTACCCCCCCCCCCCCCCCCTCCATCACCGGCCGGTAACAAACTCCAGCCGCACGCAAAAACCAGGCTCCGCGCGGACAAAACCAGCGCTCTCTCGGGGGCGGCCGCGTCCCACTCACCCGAGTCGACGCTGTCCAGACAGCTGGTGGGAGCGGAGCAGCCCGGCGCCGTCGGCCCGCTCGGCCTCGACCGACTGCGCGCGCGCCGGCGGCGTCATCGTACCGCCGCCTTCCAGCGCGATCGGGATGATGAACTCGCGCGGCGACTTGCGGATGAGCTCGCGTGGCGGCGACGGCGCGCGCACCTCCTCGTCGCTGGACGAGTCCTGCTCGGGCAGCGAGCGCAGCGACGAGGTGGGCCCGATCGGCCTGGAGGGACGGCGCGCCGCCGGCGCCGCAGGGGCCGGCACCGCCGCCGGCGCTGGGGCGGAGACGGCGGCGGCGCCGCCGGCGGCGGCCGTGGGCTTGGTCGTCTCGCCGTCCGCCAGCCGGATGGGGATGATGAACTCCTTGCTGGCGGCGCGGCGCGGCGGCAGGCTCTGCGCGCGGTCCTCGGGCCGCGCCGGCGCCGCCGGCTGCTCGTCGCTGGTGCCACGGTCCAGCCGAGCTCGGACAGCCGCCGGCGCCGGCTCGGCCGGCAGGGCCCGCGGCCGCACGTCGGCGGGCGCGGTGCGGATCGTTGACGGCACGCTGTCCGCCGAGAAGCGAGCGGGTGACTTGCGCTCCGGCATCTTCAGGCTCGGTCTGACCTTGGTGTCCTGGGTCTTGGGCTTCTGTTCGGGCTTAGCGAGTTTATTTTTCGCATTGTCTTCGGGCTTGACCGCTGTATCCTTCAGTTTTCCCTCAGGCTTGACGACCTTGTCTTTCACCTTCCTTTCATCATCCACAGCCTTTTCTTTCGTCTCCTCTTTCACAACCTTGTTTTCTTCAAGAACTGGAGTACGTTTCCCTGCTTGCACTTTACCATCGTCCTTGGCACCTACAGGACTTCTCTCCCGCTTTAGATCGGCTGAATTTTCTTCCTTCGGTTTTGAAATCACTGTCCCCTTCTCTTTCACTGGGGACACACGGCCAAGTTGAGAACTAACGTCGTTCGGCTCCTGGAGAGTCTTTTTCTGCTTTGGCACGCCATCGGCTAACTTTGCATCACTGACCGGGATCTTGCTCTTTTTGGGTGTCACGTGGGACTCGCCAGGAATTCTCGCCGGAGATTTCTCCTTTTGCACCTCAGGGTCAACAGCTTTCAGCTTCGGCTTATGCTCCGCGGCCTTTTCATCAGCATCCGCCCTACTCGTCTCTTGTTTGGGGGACACCCGAATGTTCTCCTCGGTTTCTTCGCCCTTGGCACCGCTTGGGTCGACCGTCGTCTTCTTTGGCTTGCGTTCCGCGAGCTCTTTCGGCGAAGCACTCTTGTCTTGCCTGACACCGTCCGACGAAGCCTGTTTTTACTTCTTCGGGTGCCGTCGGGACAGATTTGCCAGCTTCTCTGCTCGTCTCTCTCGCAGGACTAGTTTTGACGCCAGCAGCATCCCCAGTAGACAAAGAGGGCGCTACAACTGCCTCCTTCAGCGAAGGCGAAAGACGGCTATCGGAGGCAGATGGCGCTTTTGTAGAGGCCACCTCTCTCTCGGGCTGCTTTTCGGCGCCGGCCGACGGCTCCGGTGCCGCCGGGGACGGTGACGCCCGGCGAACTTGAGGTCGCGGAGCCGCCTGAACGTCCGTCGGCACCTCCGACTGATCGCCAGCGGTGCTCTGCTCCTGCTCAACCGGAGCGGCCCCCGACGTCACCTCCTCACCGCCCTCTGGCGGCGGCGCTGGTGTTGGACGAGGCGTCTCCGCCTCCGGAGGCGTGACGACCGGAGACGGCGATCGTTTCTCGGGCCCGAGCTTGAGCTCCGCGGTCTTGTCCTCCCCTGGAGTGATCTCCTGAGCGCCCGCAGCCGGGGCCTCCGCCTCCGCAGGCGCTGCTTCAGCCGCCGCCGCATCGTCACTCATCACCACGTCAGAGGGCTCGACGACCGCCGCCGCCTCCGGCTTCTTCTTCTTCTTCGCCGCCTTCTCTCCCGCCTTTTTCTTGGTCTTCTCTGTCTTGCCGCCCGGGGCCGCCTGCTCCTCCGCCTCGTCCAGGGCTCGCTTGGCTGCCTTGTCGGCGCCGGGCTCGGCCGGCTCTGGTGCCGGTTCTTGGGCCTGAGGCACGGCAGGGCTCGAGGCGGCCCGCACCTCCATGGCGCTGCCCAGCGACAGCGAGTCGGAGGCCGTGAACTGCGCCTTGGACGGCTCCGGCGCCGACGGCACAGCACCCTGCAAACAGAGGATTGTCACTGAGCGGAAGGATTAGATCCAACACGACACAATCTTAGACGACAGACGTTGCCAGAAAGGCTTACTGCTTTCGAGCGTATCAAAAATGTCACAGAGACTGCGGTAGTACCAGTTTTGATACCGGAGACTTCCAAGGAAGTGACGGCAACTCCAAACTGTACTCGCATCCGTACACATAACGATGCTCAAGACGCGATCTTCAAGATGGCTATTTCAGTTCAAAACCATATACAAATGTTGAGCACTCCTTTAATGTGGGGGGGGGGGGGGGATGGCGGACCGTGCCGAGCATTGCGGCAGTTAAACTTTCTCCGGTACGGCTCACACAACCAGCACTGCTTGGCCTGAGCTCTGGTCCCAGAAATCCGTCCATTCAAAAGGTTCGAATTAAATGTTTAAAAAATACCCAGGATGCTTTCCCGACCAAATTCATGCACCTGGACTGAATCTTAGTGTCTGGGCTTAAAGCGATACATTCTACAGTCCGGTACATTTCTTTCGGACACATTGCTAGTATCACGTCTTCGGGGATGACAGCACAGAGACGAGATGAACTCTGGTCGATAAATGCCGAGCGAATTGCACAGCACAGGGGCCTAGAAATTCAAATCGGCGAGCGTCTAATTCCGCATGAAACTCACATTCGTTCCAGCCACTTCGAAAACATAAACAATGACAGAAATGCCCTAGCGGCGTTTGTGTTTACACATGCATGTTTCGTTGTAGAAGGAAAAGTATTGGCTAAACTGACATTATCCACGTGTAGAAGCGCAAACCAGATATAGGCTTCACCAATTCACACATGCGTGGTCTCATTATTGATCCAAACGCAACGCAAATGTCACGTACACGGCTCGAGGCTTACAAGTGCTTCGATCCACTAATAAAGCCATGGTCAAACAACATAAGCTCATACAGCGCGAAGGCCGCCTGTCGCTGCGGCCACACGTAGCATCAAAGGCACAGGCCCCGACACACCGCGGCCCGTGCTGCTCTGCTGTCACGAAGGGTTCTCATGCGGAATAACTCTCTGCTATCGGAGCCTGGAGTGAGAATGTGGTTTGGTGGCGGCCCGCAATGCTAGGAGTACGGACAGTACGCCGCAGGATAACATCGATAATGAGGATGGTCTGGAGCAGAGTACGACATCTGTCCCACACTGATGCTATTGCGTGGGCAGGCATGTAATTTCAAGAAATTTTCGGGTCGGGCGCATTTCCAAACCATAATAAGGACCACATGATGGTCCACCTTGGCTGGAAGGATCACAACTACCAAAAGGACATCAGGCAACGCAAACGTCTCAGTACAAGCGATCTGATGTGGGACATCCAATCATGCTTCGGCAGTGGCGCAGCGAGGGCTTGCCCAGGAGCGAGCGAAATCGGGTAATAGGCGGCCCTCACATTCAAGGGACATAGGGTTCTTCGCCGCTTTGGCGCCCTGTTTTGTTTGGAGGATTTTTTCATCTCGAGACCAAACTTCGATGGGTCGGGCCCATTGACATGTTTAGAAGTTTTAAGGGCGTCTAAGGCTGTCAAAGTGCACTGGGCCTTTCTGTCCCAGTGAGTCTCGCACCTCTATAGGTGCGGGCATGGGCATGTGCACGCTCCCAAAAGCACCCCTTGGCTACACCCTAGTGTTCCAGCAAAATTATAGCAGATCTAGGGCGAAGATCCGACCGGGTCACTTCTCGGCCACCAAACACCGCACGCCTCAGTATTACTCCCCAGTCATCTTCCCAACCCCTCACCTCCTCCGGCGGCGGCACCAGCACGTGCTCCATGTCGGGTCCCTGCGGCGCCAGCGAGAGCAGCAGGTCGAGCCGGACCGGTGTCTGGTGCGCCAGCTCCTCGGCCGCCTCCAGGCAGGGCACCTCCTCGCCCTGGTTGACCCACGGGTGGCCACAGACGTCCATCATGCTGGCCCGCTTCTCCGGCGCCGGCGTCAGCAGCGCGTGGATCAGCTCGGAGGCCGCTGTCGGCGGCGGGCACGGCACCTCAACCCACTGACGATGCAAGGTCCCCACACAGTGCTCAAGGGTGCGAGGTACAGGTCGGCTGAACATACTGATGGGACTAAGCTGTACATATTCTGGGATTGAGAAAGCATTCCCAGGAATGACATGCACTATGTCTAGGACGGAGACAACGCTCACTAAACTGAGACAGCACTTGCGGGACTGAGACAGCACTCACGGGACTGAGACAGCACTCACGGGACTGAGACAGTGCTCCGGAACTGGAACACACCCAGGACCGGGACAGCACTCACGGGACTTCTTCTGCGGCTCGTAGAAGTCCCCGGACGTGATCTGCTTGACCAGTTTCTTGAAGTTGGAGCCGTCAAAGGGCATGGCGCCGTAGACGAGCGTGTAGAGCAGCACGCCGAGTGACCAGCAGTCGACCTCCGGCCCGACGTACGGGGTGCCGCGCACGATCTCCGGCGACGCGTACAGCGGCGAGCCGCAGTACGTCGACAGCAGGCGAGTCTCGTCGAACACGTTGCTCAGGCCGAAGTCGGCGATCTGGCGGGCGCCGAGACGCGGAGGTCACGGCAGGCGGAAGGAGGGGCGGTGAGGTCACGGCGGGTGGAGCGGGGAGGTCACGGCAGGCGGAAGGCGGGGGAGGTCACGGCAGGCGGGGCGGTGAGGTCACGGCAGGCGAAGCGAGGAAAACGGAACAACTAGCAGGAGGAAGGAGCACGGAGCGGCAGTTAGCCGGGGGAAGGCGCAGGGGAGGGCAGCTAGCCAGAGAAAGAATAGCAGCTAGCCGGAGAAAGACGCATGGAGCGGCAGCTAACCGGAGGAAGGGGCACGGAACGGCAGTTAGCCGTAAGGAGGAACGAACGGCCGCTAGCCGGAAGAACGAGCAGGGAACGACAGCTGGCCGGAAGAAGGCGCATGCGGCCGCCACAGCACACACGCTTACGCTGCCAACGATGCAGATTTTTAGGCTGGAGGGATCCAATACGCACAGTCGCCTTTCGCGTATGTTTCGGTGTGTGTTGTGCGGGTTTCCCGAGTTTTATAGGACTCACCTTGAAGCGTCCTGCTGAGCGACACGTGCACATGACCACATTTCAAACATGCGCAAGACATGCGTCGAGACTTACGGACCCGGGCATGCGCACACTTGACTCCCCATGAGATACATCCTCCCGAATACGGATTTAATACATGTTACAAACCAATCCACCTGCAGCAGTGCAGCCATGATATGTACAAAGACATGGTATTTCTGCTGCTGCCTTTGTCACACCGTCAATGCGCCAAAAGGCGCTTCATGTTCGCAGAGTAGTACAAAGAAGAGGAACTTAAAAAAGGTACACACTCGTGACCGATCCACACGTAAGCGTTTCGCAAGCGACGTCCGGTGCCAGCAGAAGGGGCGTGACGCGATTTCTGCGCTGGGATTCTCACCTTTGCGTTGCCGTACTCATCCAGCAGGATGTTCTCCAGCTTGAGATCTCGGTGGCAAATCTTGTGCTGCAGGCAGAGCAATCACACTTAGCGAAGCTGCCGCTGACGGCAAGCTGGGTGTGGCCCATCGATTACAGTCGAATCGTTGAAATTACAAGATACGCGACATGCACATATCTAGGGATTGAAAAGCAGCTTCGGGTTCAGTGAACATCAGATCATCGATCTAGCCGAAAGCCTTCGGTCAGACCGTGCCTAGAGTCGGTATTTGTGCGCTAGTTTGACGAGAAGCGGGACCTAATTCTAATACTGACAAAGCTCGCCAAAGTATTCTGGTGATCTGACCAAGTGCAGCAAATGCTGACCTCGTGCAACTGTAAATGTGATTGGAGACTAAGCAAAAGCTGAACGAGCTCAAATGACAACAGAGGCTTCGGCCATAATGCTATGGATGCGTAACTTTAGATGCTTTATTGGAGATGCTCGTACCCATTAAAGGGTACGAGCATCTCCAATAAAGAATAGCATCTCCAATAAACAAGCGATAGTGGTGTTTTAACTAAACAAACGTCGTCCATGGCGTTATAACCGGAAAGAAAACGCAAACGTAACAATATTCTCGCTTTTCTTTTTTCATCGTGGTTGAGAAGCTGCCTTTTGAAATCGGAGTGTTCTCGAATCACTACGAAGCACTACATTCGAAAACCGGTTCGCTAGACTCCGACCCTTCAATAAAAACAGAATGCAACGCTCGATGACGGTTCCACAGCATCCTGCGGGAACCGCAGGTACCCACATCCTGAAGAGGCGGGAGACGACGCTGTCCTAACCTGGTCAGCACTGACAGGGGCCAGGCCATTTTGAGAGCTTGATTGAGCAAGTTACGCAAGGAGTCCATAATTCTTTTTCAGTACAGCTTGATAAGCTTACGCTCATCAAGCCAAACGCGCTATGCTATTTCAGTTCATCGACAATCCTGCCCCAAGTCTTACAAAACCGGTGTGTACTACGGGGCGGTCCTTCCGTGCCGTACAATGTTACATCACAGCCACTCGGCGCCAGCTCTGCCCTCTGACCAGTTGCCGGGTGGCGGTCCCACGTCAGTCGGCACTAAAAATGCGTCCGTAGTGGTATTTGTACTCAGAGCCAGCGAGTTACGAGTCTAGAGCCTCCCACGCGGATGTGGAGAGACAACTGCCATGAGGTATGGCAACGGTTCTCGTCTACCCCTTGACAGAGCTATCAGCCCTATCTATCCCGCGGCAGGGCCATCAGCCATTCTACCTCGTAGCAGAGTTGTTAGCCCCATCTACCCCGCGATGGGAGTAGCAGGTGCTGTCCGCGGTGCCGGCCCTTGCTATGTGGCGTCAGTGCTATCACCACCCTCCCAGCTGGTGCGCGGCGTGCCGGCCACCGTACCGAGCGTGCAGTGGCAGCAGCCCTCCCCCTCGCCGGTACACCGGGAGCGTGTCGTCCGCCGCACCCACCTTGTGGCAGTAGTAGCAGGCGCTGGCCACCTGCCGGAAGATGCGGCGCGCCTCGCCCTCGGCCAGCACCTTCTTCTCGCTGAGGTAGTCGTACAGCTCGCCGCCAGCCGCGTACTCCATCACCAGCACCATCTTGTCGCGGTTCTCAAACACTGCGGCGACAGGGGAGACTTCATGTGCAGGCGATGCTTACCTCACCGCGATTGCTGGCAAGATTGTTGACTGGCGGGAGTTTCCGCAATCGAGCAGATATTGATGTATGTGGGAGGAGGGGTCATGACGGTGCTTGAAAGGAGCACGCCAGCAAACCGGAGAAAGCTCACAAATATATATATATATATATATATATATATATATATATATAACTCCGATGGTGGAAAAATGTCTTCTGAAAGTATTCAAATAAACCCAATATGTGCTACTAATATTATGGTGCTAGTTAAGCTGGCTGAGCTGTCGTTGTCCCCTGATATGCTACATATCACATGCACCTGGTAGAAATGCAGTATACTGCTTTACATGACCACCCCTACATAAAAGCAGTTCAATGGTGATGACTCCTCGACGCCATGCCATGTGGAACAGAGCGCTAGAAGGGTATAGCCAGGAAATCGGAAGTGAAACTCCTCCACACTCGTGGCTTGGCGGGTGCGGCTTGTTAGCTAACATTACAACAAACTAAGGCACTGACAGTACGCGATTCAATGACAATATCCATACAAACACAAAGAACAACAAACAGGCAAAAATATCCGATTGCGTGAGCATAACAAATCATCAGACCACGCGAGTCAACCAACCGCGTGCAGCGTCACATGATCACATCATGCCTCGCGCGATGCCAGGGAACCGACGCTGACCACTGCCCCTCAGCTAGATACCTTCATATATGTGGATAATGTGTGGGTGCGTCACCGAGGACATGATCTGGATCTCCCGTCGAATGCGGATGAGGTCTTTCTCAGTCTCGATCTTCGCCTTCTTGATGGTCTTAATTGCGACCTGCGGGGACAAACACAGCATTACAACTGCTGACGGCGGTTTAACTCTGAAACCAGTGTCAACAACAGGTAAAAGCATGCTTTTCCAGCGCACAAAACACACTAGAAAAATGTAGGTGGGCTAGGAAGCATAACACGTGAAAGGTTTCCCCACAGGAAAATACAAATAAACCGGTAATTTTTTTCGTAAAAGTGACATGCCAAGGGTGGGCACAACCGCACGACGCCGGTTACCCTAATAGGAATCACAGCCAGTGTGCGGAGTCAACAATCTATTCACCGCCGCCCCAGTGTTCCGTCCCATTCGAGTCCCTCACACGAATGAAGCGTTCAGCGGGGTCAACTGGGAAGACCACGTGCTTACATAGCACCGAGGAACGAGGCCGCAGACTGAGTGTGTCTTACTTCAACTACGGCCACGTGCTCAGTCTGAGCGGCATGGTCTGGCGCAAGCGGCATTGACATGCCGGCGCTTTCGCAACCACTAATCGCAGCTGCATGCACCTTTCAGCAACAAAAAGGCCATCTTTAAGTGCTGAACAGTTGTTTGCTGTACAACGTGCAACCAGCGAAAAATCGCAGGACGAGTTCAAAACCGGTCTCCTGTCCCGACAACCCAGGGTGGCAAGAACATAGGATCAATGCAACTTAACCGAGGAAGTGACGAGCAATCCTAGCGGCGCAAATGTCCGCCACTTCGTACAGCAACTAGTTCATGCAAACACAGCCACTCGCCGTTCAGCCAGTCTCTCGCATTTCTTAGTGGATTGGCCCATCAAAAATCATTCCTGAGTTGAACACGTAGAAGATTGCGGCGTACTTCCTCAAGTCAGAATGCATTTGTGTTTATAGAAGTGGCCCCCTACAACGTCATCATCTCGCAAGGCTTTGGTCTCAGCACGGGTCATGTGGTATGTGATACCAACGGTGACACGTATTTTAATTGTGGTGGGCGTTTTGGCACACAGAGTTAGGACAAAAGACGCAGCGCGAAGGTGGCGTTATATCAGGTGTTTTAGATTCGTTTAGGTAGGTCTGCCTTTTAAAATAATAATACTAAGCTTTCTCTGGAAAATACTACAGAAATAAATATAAGCGAACACAACATACAAACGGTGGGCCAACCCATCAAGAGCTAATGAAGGATCTCGGCAACAATGCCGTCATGAAATAGTTTAAATTGCGCACTCTCCCCCCCCCCCCCACACCACCGGGCACATGCTGAGGCGAAAATTCTGCTGAGTTATAAGATCACTAACGATTTTGGACCAGCCAGCAGGGTTTGCGGCAACACAATCAGCCGCATGAAGTACGGGAACGCATCGTCCCCAACAGTTCATATGTCACAGCTGACCACAACATCGTACTTTGCTGACCACAGGACCATTCCGAAGCCCAGTACGGTAGCTAATCCCCACAAAGTTCCGTGAACGCAGCATTAACGCGTGCAACAATTCACAGACACGTGGAGCACGTGCCGGCGGCGGTACTAAGCGGGCGCCCACTATCGCGCCGAGCCAACACTGGCGCTCGAGCCGTGACTTCAGTCGGCGCGCCGCGCCTGGCCGCGATGGGGAGGGGGAGGGGCGACGACGCCAACCAGCGACGAAAATAGCGGCGGTGCGAGCACGGATGCACTTCTCGACCCTTCACATTCGGAAAGCCCGTCAGGGGTTCCGGTGCTCGGGCGGCACAGGTGGGTGGCCCGGTCTGATGACGCCATGGGGCACGCCGCGCCGCCCTGATTGGTTTGCAAACGCTCCGGACCGGCCCCGTGAATGACAAGTGGGCTAGGGTCTCCACCTGCTGCAACTGAAGAGTGGCGCACTCAAACGCTGGGCGCCTCCGCGCCGTCCGCCGCCGCATGACGGGCGGACGCCGTGAACAAACAGTGGCTGAAGAGGCGAGCCGCCCCAGCGCCGCCGCAGACAGGCGCCGGTGTACCGAGACAGCTGACGTGACCGCCCTTCCCCGCAGACGCCTCCAGTCGCCTCCTGAGCGGACTCATCGGTCGGCAGACACCGGCCATCGACCGAGAGGCGGCGACGGCTCACCCGGCAGGCGCCATCCCGTCAGCGGTAGCGTTGCAGGAGGCGCTGCTCTGGGCGCTTCCTGGAACGGCAGCTTCGGCGCTAATCTTCGGAAGGCATCCCCCGGCCCGGCCAACTAGGACCTTGAATCAATCTCCCGTACTTTCTGGAATCTAGTTACGTCTACGACACCACAATTCTGACAACAACAGTGGTACGGGGTTCGATTCCCCGCGGTGCCCGTCCTTCCTGCCAAGGTGAGAGGCAGGCGACGCACTACAGCATCAGCAGCTGAGTGCGTCATTAAGCCCCTAAGACAACAGTGGTTCTCCACTGATATGTAAAATCCGCGTTCCCATCCACGGCACACCCAGACAAACACTCCCCGCGCCTCCATAGATGAGAAAAGCACGCCGCGGGTGTGCGAATCGTTGGTATACACCGGCACATGCCGGTGTCAACCGGTATCCGCCGGCACGTACCGGCGTCCACCGGTGTCCAGTCCCAATCACCACGTTTGTAAACTACAGGCAGCTGCGAGTAAGAGCGGCTGGGACAGCAGCGCCAGCATCGCATGGCGTTTTATTTCTGGCGGCTCCAGTGACAACAAATACGCCAAACGCCAAAACCTCGGCTCCGATTGGACTAGCGCCAGTCAGGCACCAGAATCCAGGGCATCTCTGTCTTTCCCGCCCATCAGCGCTGTTTAAACGCTCCGCAGCGTTAAGACGTCCTCTTCATCACCGCAGTTTATATCTGCTGGTAACGAGCATATGATGTGTATAGACACACGCATGGATATAAAATACATCCAGGTCTTGTTCAACTGGGGCTTGTTTCATTCCGTTGATGCGTGTTCCGACTGCTGCAGGTGTATAACATAGATGTTATGCAAACATGCCTTATGGGATGAAAGGTGACCACCTAAGCATAACTTCTGTCTAAAGATTACCATTTCGGCTACATGTCAATAGATGCTACGGTGTATCCTCTGTTGAGACCCTTTGCCTTAATCATGGGAGGTTAGATATGAAGAAAGTTGTTGTGATGCCGTGACTAAGCGATCAACTACGACCACAACGTGACGCCAAACGGACCGCGGTCATCTAGAACGTTGGAAAGGATCTGCGCTATGTAGAGTTCCCTGATTTTATTTCCCTTAGAACGAGCGGAAACATCTCATACCAGAAAGACCCTTTTCAACCCAAACAAATCTCGAAGAACTGCATTACTGTCCTATGTGTGCAATGTCCTCGAGTGAAACGCCACAGACCCTAGCACGAGCACCATGAAGATATCGGTGCCCCGGACTCACCTCCCATTGGTCCGCCCTAGACCCAAGATCATGCGCAATCATTACAGCGGAAGGAAAACATGGCAAAATGGGCGATGCCAAGCAAGTCAGCATCATGTGTCGCAACTCTCCATTTACTTACAAACACCTTGGAATGTGCCAGGAACTGGGTGCATTTCGTTAGAAAACATCACGTACCATTCTCCGCACGTCAGTGTTCCGTCATCATAATCACAAACAGCTAAAAGCCTGCAAACAACACATGGCAAAAGGCCAGTGATAGCTTTTTTCTAACGGGCGCAGGCATTACATGAAATGCCAAGTGGCATTACATGAAATGGCATGCCCCCCCCCCCCCCCGTCCAATTTGCCACGAAAATTTGTGTCGTCCTACGTCCATCTCCACGCGCGGGGCTTCCGCGTTGGCTTCCGCTGACACGAACGCCATCTACGACCTAACTCAGACATGGTCTAATATAGAGGTCATTATTTGCTTCAGTTCGTTTTTAAACAGGCCAACTTGAACTCACAGCCTCCCATTGCCCACATATACTCACATCCTGGCCCGTCTCCTTATTTATAGCCAGCTGCACCTTCCCGTAAGTTCCTTGGCCAAGTTTCTTCACTATATCAAACCTGAAACAGAAGTAACAGTCACTCTTAGGAATCGGCGATGTTCTCTATGATAACGACGTGGTCGTGAACAATTTCTTAAAAGAGATCATCGTGCCACATAAACGTCCTGCGATCAGATCTAAACATGATCAAAACATCACATGCTTCCGTTATATAGATGTCACTCTTGCCGTGGTAAATGTGAGATGTAATCATTGAATGATGTCTCTGGGACTAATTACCAACATCAGCACATCAAGGAACGATAGCCATGTGTGTTCTCCAGACCTGACTGACCGCCCCGACCGCCCAGTGCTCTGCACCTTTTGGCAACAACAGCAGACAACCGTCGCGCCGACGCGTGATGCTGATGATCTGGGTTTAGCACGCGTCGACAGCATGGGTCATATGGCGCATCGATCACTTCTGGCCAGCGCGTGCAGCGTGCGGTGCATGTCTCCTCTCATTCGCGGACCTGTTCCATGCCATCGCTCACCCCTCCCCCTCCCCCCCCCCCACACACACAACGCATCTCTGTTTGTCCCTGCTTATCGGGCCTGTATTCTGGACCGTGGATAACAGACGCCGCATACCAGTGGGATAGCACGAGAGGACGGGGCGGACGCGTTACGACAAGGGTCGGGAGAGCCGCTGCTGCGGCTGACGTACCAGTGGGATAGCAGGGGAGGACGGGGCGGACGCGTTACGACACGGGCCGGGGAGAGCCGCTGACGTCTGGTCCAGCCCTCAGCGCGCGCCGCGCTCAGCAGATACAAGCCTCGTGGCCCGGTCATCCTCACTGGTGCGTCACTGACTGGTGATCTTACAAAGTCACGAAGGTCTCAGAGGAGAACACATCCTTCAAAGACAAAAGCAATGTGCAGGAAGAAGAGGCAACGTTCTGTCTTGTAGCATGCCCGGCTGCCTACAGATTTTGCCGGCATCAAACCACGTCAAGTTATCGAAAAGCAGTCTCAGATTTGGAGCAATGCCAAAACATCTATGAAGAAGTGATCCGAGAAGCCTTCTCCTTATCAATATTTCTTCCAGCAAACATGTCACACCATTCCTCCATCTGAAGGGAAGCGACCGACGACCCACGGTTCAGGCGACGTATTTCCTCGTGAGCACGCGCGGAATGTGTTGTGTAGTTACCAGCTCGTCACGGAATGTGACCGGCGCTCCACACTTCTCACGTCGGGCTGGGTTCCAGGGAAGGCGAGGGATACGGCGCACGGGCGTCTCCAGGGAGGAGGGGAGGGGGAATTGGGTGGGGCCACACCCCCAGAGGCGACAAAAAAAAAACAACCATGTTTATGCTTTAGGCCTAATTTTCGGGGCATTAGCGCCGTCTTTCGAACACCGCTCTCTCCAAACTGAGACGTTATATCCGCCATTGCCAGCCCGCACGTTTCGAGGGAATGGCTGGCGCCAGCAAGGGGGCGTCATTCTGCCACAGAGAAGTGACCCACGGTAAGGCTGCCTCCCCCCCCCCCCCCTCAGCCCCACTGGCCGTTTTTCGTAAAGAAGCATGATTCCCGGATAGGTTCTGAGAGACCGGATTGCTAAAAAGGGCAATTGCGGCTGACGTAACAGGCTATCCAGTGCCGAATTGAACAAAACTTCTCACTACACGTGGCCCAATTCCCTCTCTCCGGGCCTCAACCGTTCCTCTAATCTCGAGACGTCACAGGATTACCCCATCGCCTGCCCTCAGGCTCCCGAGCCGACCAGCCCTGACATGGTTCAGCGACCCCGATTCCAAGCACATCCCAGCGCGGTCCATCCGCCGTCCTCGAAGGGAGGACGCGACCGGCATGCCCACTATTGTCCCCGTCTCTTGAGTACCGCTTCAGCCACGCTCGTAGTTGAGACGGTAGCGTGAAGAATGCATCGCGACGTAGCGCCAAGGTTAAAATCTGAGCAAACATTTTAAGATTTTTACGCAGGACACTCCAAATTACCCGCGTTATGACCCACTGCTCACGCAATGATGCGCTCTCCTCGTGTTACGATCTTACGCGACACGCGCATGTTCAGGCACCTGTTGAAAAGGTTGTCAGTGCTGAGCAAAGTGCACTTCATCCATCGCCTGAAAACCGTCCTCCGAGTGTCCTAAGTTCATTAAGTACCCCGGCAAATCGGTAAATCCCATGGTCCATCCGTATCCCGACAAATCGCACGGTCCGTTCATATTCCGAAAAATCCCATGGTCCATTCATATTCCGACAAATCCCACGGACCATTCATACCCCGACAAACCTCACCGTCCATTCATATCCCGACAAATGCAAAGGCCCATTCATACCCCGACAAACCCCACGGTCTTCTCGTGTCCCGAGATCACAGGTGGTCATAGGTTCGGCTGACTCCAACATCTGCAAACCAGCTGGCCTGCCATGCCAAACACACCCCAGAACTGTCCAGTGAGCATGCGCTTTTCAAAGCGTTCATGAAAGAGAACATCACTTGGTATACACGCGGCACACGGTGGTGACATAACGCGTCAAAGCAAACTTGTATGAGGTCATTTGACTGCATGGTGGTCCATTACGGCACCAAAGCAATTAGACTTGTTTGACGCCGCGCACCAGACGGTGACGTCATCAAAGCACCGCTCTGACATCATTGCACGGCAGTCGGCACGGCACCCAGGTACGTCCCCCCCCCCCCGTCCAAGAGCAGATGACAGCCGCACAGCGCCGGGTCACGGGCAGGGGGGGAGGGAGCGGGAGCGGGGGGGGGGGGGGACGGCCGCCGAGCGGCGGCAGGGCGCCAGCTCGAGCACGCGGTCGGCATGAGTCGGCCAGACGCGCCGCTGAGTCAGGACGAGCGCTCTGGAAGGCCACCATCACCGCGGTCAGGCCCACTCACGGGGGAGCAGAGCGTCGTCCACCGGCCGGCCGGCTGTCGCGCTCGAGTTCCCCTCATTGCGGGAGGTCTCTGAGAGCGCTTCGATTTTTTAATTTCGTTGGCAAAAGACCGTTGAAAAACTTGGCGGTGATATTTTCTGTGCGGGGAAGGGGAGCGACATCCTGTAAATACAACCTTGAACCAGCCCTAATGGCGACGCAAACGGTGGCGACAGACCCGCCGACGCAGAATTTGGCAGGAAGCCGAGGCCTGTAGCGAAGGAAATACGCCAACAACTGCGCCTCACTTCGGCTACAGGGAGAAGGAAAACCACCGCAGAAGGGTGCGACGTCTGTAATCCGTCACCAATGGCGCCGATTACGTCACAGTTGGGGCGGAGGCAAGGTTGGACACGAGACGCTGGACGGCGGGCGATGTTATGCCACCGAAGTTCGGTGTTCTGCGACAGCGACCACGCCGTGATAAAAGCGACGCAATCTCGAATGGTAACTGTCCGGCGGCGGCGTTAGTTACTAGCCGACTCGCAGCGCCGGCCGCGGTCAAAACGTCCCAGACGGCGGGCGAGAAGGCGGAAATGGACGCCGCGTCAGCTGGCAGGCCCTCCGGAGACCAAGTTGACAGCCGAGATCGATCTCCGCCACATCTGACAGTGAGAGATCATGGTCTCCTCTCAGCGCCGCTGGCGCACGACCGCGGACGTGGCCCGAATGTAACGCGCCCTGCTCAGGCATTAACAGGCAGCACGACTAGATCCGAACATCTGCATGCACGTCACCGAAATCCGCCAGATGGGCCGGAAGGCGCTCGCCGAGCTCAGCAGGCAAGCCCGCTCGGATCGTGCCGGCCCGCGCCCGCGTGTTCACGGCCGGGGCAGCAGCCTTTCGCACCTGGTCCGCGTGAGGTACGCCCGCCCGCTGAAGGCGTGCCGCGCAGCGTGAGTAACTGTTCCAGGACCGCTCCGCCTCCTCCCGGGCCCCCCAGACCGGCACCGTTAGTCAAGGGTGCTGGTAAGGCCCAGGGGCCGCAGCAGAGAGTCGTCACGGCATCGTCCATCGACATTCTCCAATAAGATATTGGTCTGTCACAACTAAAATGCAAGTCGGCGTTTAACATTTCGGGTCAACCTTCGGATGTCCTAAAAAATCATAGGGTGATAATCCACCGGGCCATTGGTAATTTCTACATACAAAAATGCAACAGCTTGCTGTGCCTGTCAGCCTGTCTCCGTCCCTCCCCGCTGTGTCAGTCCAGTCAACAGCCGCCGATCCTTCCCGCTGTGTCAGTCCAGTCAACAGCCGCCGACCCTCCCCGCTGTGTCAGTCCAGTCAACAGCCGCCGACCCTACCCGCTGCGTCAGTCCAGTCAACAGCCGCCGATCCTCCCGCTGTGTCAGTCCAGTCAACAGCCGCCGATCCTTCCCGCTGCGTCAGTCCAGTCAACAGCCGCCGACCCTCCCCGCTGCGTCAGTCCAGTCAACAGCCGCCGACCCTCCCGCTGTGTCAGTCCAGCCAACAGCCGCCGATCCTCCCCGCTGTGCCAGTCCAGTCAACAGTCTCCGTCCCTCCCCGCTGCGTCAGTCCAGTCAACAGCCGCCGATCCTTCCCGCTGCGTCAGTCCAGTCAACAGGCGCCGTCCCTCCCCGCTGTGTCAGTCCAGTCAACAGCCGCCGACCCTCCCGCTGTGTCAGTCCAGCCAACAGCCGCCGATCCTCCCCGCTGTGTCAGTTCAGTCAGCACCCGCCGTCCCTCCCCGATGTCCGACTTTACACGCGCGAGTGCCCACGCTTGCAGCCTGCCCGCAGTCCCGCCCCCGCGTCCAACTGCCGGCCGGGTGCCCAGCTAGCTGCCCCGTCGGTCCGCCTCGCGAGGCCCACCCGCAGTACCGCCCCAGCGTCCAACTGCCGGCCGTGTGCCGAGCCGGCCGCCGCGCCGGTCCGTTTCGCGAGGCCCGCCCGCAGTCCCCCGCCCCGCGTCCAACTGCCGGCCGGGTGCCGAGCCGGCCGCCGCGCCGGTTCGCCCCGCGAGGCCCGCCCGCAGACCGCCCCCGCGTCCAACTGCCGGCCGGGTGCCGAGCCGGCCGCCGCGCCGCTCCGCCTCGCGAGGCCTGCCCGCAGTACCGCCCCCCGCGTTCAACCGTCGGCCGTGTGCCGAGCCGGTCCGCCTCGCGAGGCCCGGCCGCAGTACCGCCCCCGCGTTCAACCGTCGGCCGGGGTGCCGAGCCGGCCGCCGCGCCGGTCCGTTTCGCGAGCCCCGGCCGCCGCGCGCCTGTTGTTCTTGGTGTGACACCAATGCCGGCGGGCGTGAAGGCCGCCGTGCTGCCCCGTTTGGCGGCGGCCGGCGGCGGGGCGCGCAGGGCGTCGCGCGCCGCGCGCCGGCCCGTGTTTTGCGGCGGGACGGCCAGCCCGAAGTGGGGCGCTGTTCGGCTGTTTACACGCCGGTTAAATCTCGCCCATTGTTGCCCGTCGGATAAACGGGAGATGTTTTGTGTATGTGTGGCTGCGGGTTCGGAGTGGTGCTCAGCGAATGGCGGCGGTGAACTGCGTTGTGCGTGTGTGCGTGCGTGCGTGTGTGCGTATGGGTGTGTGGGCGTGTGATGTGTGAACTGGAACGTTTAAACGAAGCTATCTTAATTACATTTGCTCGCGTGATAACTGCACGTGCAGCTGAAGGCTGCATAAAGCCCGCTGATTCAGAGCATGTTAATGTTTCCCTCGAATCGGCACTGCAGGAACTGCCCACGCAATCATTCTGTAGTACTGGGATCGTTCAAATCGCTCCTTGGTTTCGGAGAACCCGAGCAGCTACGCGTCCTCCGCGTCTTAAACCGCAGCATGACGTCTTTGCCGATCAGATTAATCTTGCGGTCGCCCGGGTTTAAGTAAGATCATGTTTTTATGGGCAGGCATGATACCAGATCTCCGCCTACCAAAACTTTTCGAAATTGAAAAATATATACGGAGACATGCCAGACGCAGACGCAACAAAACAACTTCCAATACCCTAGTCACTTCCCTGTTTATAGGTAAATAGTGCTTAGAGAGCTTGTACACCGGAAAGCTATGCGCGATGAATGATCGTTCAATTAATACATACAATAAGTTAGGATAGAAGCTTTGCTTCTGCTTTTGCAGTCCAGAAGCTTTTACATCTTCGCAATAGGCAGTCATCATTTGCATTAATGACCAAACGTAATTGTACTATGTTTTGGTGCATATTCATAACATGCAGCATACCGGTAAACGTAACAAAACAGCGCGATAATCGCGTAACTATATCCACACTACAATAACATGCTAAGTACGAAATATCGGCAAATTCCCGTGAGCTGCAAGGGCCAGTTAACAAGATGCCAACATGAATAAGGGGCTAACCTTACAAAAACACGGCCCATGCAACGCAACACTAACAAATACACCGCATATGCTCCTTGTCCCAATGAAATAGATATTCAGGTCCGATTGTATGCCAATAACCAAACTGGCTACTTTCAAGTCTGCCTTAGTCCAACTTCATGCAAACGATAGCTACTGCAACCTGTTTTTTCGTGGTTGTGCGTGGTTGTGGCCGTACCTGTGCCTCAGCTTGTGTTTATATATTTGCCTGCAGTTGTGGTTGTGCCTGTGTTTGTGGTTGTGCCTGTGTGTGTGGTTGTGCCTACGCTCGTGGTTGCGCTTGTGTTTGCGGTTGTCCCTGTGTTGGTAGTTGTGCCTGCGTTTGTGGTTGTGTCTGGCTGTGGTCGTAAATGTGATTATGCCTGTGTTAGTCGCTGTGCCTGCGTTTGTGGCTATGCCTGTGTCTGAGGTTGTGTTTGTGGATGTGCCGTGATTGTGGCTGTGCCTGTGTCTGAGGCTGTGGATGTTTCCGTGTTTGTGGCTATGGCTGTTTGTGGCTGTGTCTGTGTTTGTGGTTATGCCTGTATTTGTAATTGCGGCTGTGTTTGTGGTTATGCCTGTGTTTGTGGTTGTGCCCGTATCTGTGTCTGTGGCTGTGGCTGTGGCTGCGGCTGTGTTTGTGGTCGCGCTTGTGTTTGTGGTTACACCTGTGTTTGTGGTTGTGCCTGCATTTGTGGTCGTGCCGTGTCTGTGGTTAGGCCTGTGTCTGTGGATACGCCTGTGTTGTGTTTGTGGTTGCGCCTGGTAGCGGCCGTACCTGCTCCTGAGCTTGCGTTTGCGGCTGTGCCTGTGTTTGCGAATAAGCCTGGTTGCCGTACCTGCGCCTGAGCTTGTGTTTGTGGCTATGCCTGCGTCTGCGGTTGAGCCTGGTTGCCGTACCTGTGCCTGAGCTTGTGTTTGTGGTTGTTGAGCCGCACGCCGGCGGCCTGCTGCATGCCCCCCATGATGTCGCTGATCTGGTTCTCCGACACCACCATCTCGGCGGAGCTGGTGACCCCTCAGGTCACGGCCGGCCAACTATCGCCTGTCGATGAGAGGAATGCCGTCAGTATGGTGCGGATATCAACGCAGGGACACACACATCATCATGCTCGTTTACGGTGCGTCAACAGAGCTTTGAAGATCGAGCAAAAACTCAGGTATGCTGCTACTTTGAATGTTGATCATGCTTTGATGGCAGCTACCAGGTGGCAAAACACCTTCATACCGTCAGTGAAATTAGCATGATCTCACGTCGCGTTAGCTACAGGAAAAACGTCCGTTTTCACACACAGAGCAGACTACCATGAGCGGATTCAGCACCGCAGATCTCATCGGGGCATCGCCCACGCTGCCGCTTCTCGGGAAGCACACAAGTCATCGCCGACTCTGCTGTGCGGCGCTGGCAGCTGTGATGCGTCCAATGATCATCTCAGCGTGCAACAGTCACAGCGCCGCCCGGGAATCGAGCCCGCGCTCCGACGTGGTCGTTCGGCTGTCAAAGGAGCTGTTTAGCCCGCCAAACATGCTCCTTGTGGTTACGATATGTGACAGTATTACGAATAAGATTGATATACACGGTGATCACAACGAGAATCCAGTCCCTGTTGTTCCAAACAGCGTCCCACATTTTGACGCCGCGTAATTATGTGCGATTGGCCCGTCTTCATTTGACGAGTGATGACCACCACACGGCTTAAGTTCCACGAAAGATCCACGTGCTGGCCCGTGCCACTCACTTCACCCGTCAGGGGGGGGGGGGGGGGGCAACACAGCCAGGCTGCCAAAACAGCGCCGGCCCACCCGCAGCCGCCCTGCCCGAGTCTGCCCGCCGGGCCGAACGGTCGTCACACGTGTGCGGATCTGCCCTGCAGCGACGACGGTGACGCTCCGTCAACAAGGGTTGCTCTGAAGGGCCGCACGAGAGTGCTGCGGTGGTGACGCAACCGCCGCCAAACAAATAGCTGCCGGACCCGCCGGCCACGCGGTCCGCCGGGCGCCCAGCGCTCGCTATGATGACGGATTTCTCGAGACGCAAAACCTGGGCTTAGAGGGCACGACGGCCGACTAGACGCGCGTACAAAGCTGCGCCATGCTCCGTGCCCAGGGCTGTGATGATGGGGTGACGGGGGCGGCTGGGTTTTGCATCTGATGATTCACTGCCTGCGCATTGTGTCACAACCGCGAACGATGCACAAGCGGATGCAGTGCTCATACCGGACATTGCGTCCCAAGATAAGTTCCTGAAATGGTTCGGACGGTTGAAGATCATCAGTCATTGCACGTAAGGGCATCCATGACGTCTTGGACCAGCTGACCAGACACGTCGACATGTGTTTTGGTCGTACAAACGCGGTTGTGAACTAGTTCGGTAATGGCAAACATGGCCAAGCCTGGTGCAGAAAGCCGTGGCGACGGACCAAACACGGCGGCTGGTTGTATCAACACCGATTTGCCAAATATGAGCATGCACGTGGAGAAAAAGCCGGAGGTTTTCTGTCCAGACTACTGTCTATCCACCTCGAGGTTGCAATACCACTGGCTTGTCCGGTAATCGTCGGACACACAGCTTATTTCGAACGGGCCAGCTGTGAACAGAACATATAGTGTGCCGTATGCTTCGGGAAGACAGCTGTAAGCCGATTAGTGCATTAAGTGTCCATGCAGTAGTCGTGGTGCACAGCTGATGTGCATAACTTTACAGGCGGCCGTGAACGATAAATCGATCCCAAAGACTCCCCCCCCCCCCCTCCAAGTGGCCCACCGGCCGGACTGGACACTGCAGGAACCCTGCGGCCCCGCATTGATCGGGACGCCAGTCGAGGCTCGCTGCAGTTGAGCCGGCGACAGGCGCTCCCTGCCCCGTTGAGGGGCGCCCAGAACTCCCTACCCTGTTTGCGAGCGCCCGGCGCTCCCCGACCTGTCTGCGGGCGCCCGGCACTCCCTGATCTGTCCGCGGGCGCCCGGCGCTCCCTGACCTGTCTGCGGGCGCCCGGCGCTCCCTGCCCTGTCTGCAGGGCGCCCGCTCCCTCACTTGTCTGCAGGCGCCGGCGCTCCCTGACCTGTCTGCAGGGCGTCCGGCACTCCCTCACTTGTCTGCGGGCGCCCGGCACTCCTGACCTGTCTGCGGGCGCCCGGCACTCCCTGACCTTTCTGCGGGCGCCCGGCGCTCCCTGACCGTCTGCAGGGCGCCCGACGCTCCCTAACTTGTCTGCAGGGCGCCGGCGCTCCCTGACCTGTCTGCGGGGCGCCCGGCGCTCCCTGACCTGTCTGCGGGGCGCCCACCGCAGGCTTAAGACCGTCGACCGCCGTACCCAGGCTGCCAACCACAGCCGCAGCTGGAAAGACATCAGCTTCCGCTCTCGACATCTGACCAGTGTCACCCACCCGCCACTCGCGGACTCGGCCCCGGCTGCTCCGACGCGTTAAGAACCTTACACAAACTGCTGGACAGAGGCGTATCTATTCGGAGACTGCAGCATACATCTGTCAGAATCAGCCAGTGGAAATGTTTGCGTCTGTGGGCGCCGACGGCTCGGCGGCGGTTCGTTTGGCCCGTTCGCGTGCGAGGTGGGTCACGTGGTCCACTGCCGTTCAGCCAATCAGCGCGCGCGGCCGGGTCCGGCGAGGTCACGCCCGCCCCTGGCGAGCGAACACGACGTTCGGACGACGCCGGGCACAGCAGCTTAGCGGAACGTCCCACCAAGGAACCTTCAGGCTGCTCATTGCGCCACCCGCACCGCCGAGGACACGAGGAAACATCGTCTACAGCCCAGACACTATACCGCCTTCAAGGGAGCATGTTGTGAAATCAGAAAAGCGATCGAAGACCAGAGCCAAAACCAGGTCGCGACTCGCATGTGCCTGACTTCTAAGCGCTGGTAGCCGATCCATGCGCCTCCAGCCCCAAAATTTGAATCTCGGGTTACCGCACCCGTTCGTGCGGTAAAGTACGCGCCTGCTGGCACCGCGACACCCTGCCGAGACATCGTACACCCCGCCCCCCCCCCCCCTCCCTCCGCCCGGCGCAGCGTGACGTGGCAGCCAGACGGGCGGGGCGGGGCCGGGCGGCCGCGCAGAACAGGGCGCGCGTGCGCCCGGGCGTGACTCACCGGCCCGAGCTGGACAGACAGCGTCCCTGGCCGGGGGGGGGGGGGGGGAGTGGGTCGAACGTCGGGCTCTTCGGTTCGGCGGGGACGACCGTGCCGCGGTGACGTCAGGGGTCGCTGCTGGGCCGATGGCCGCTGTCGGGCCGAAGCAGCCACTGACTTAGAGGTGCGGGTTTGAAGAGCTCAAGCGACTCAGGCCAGATGGTGAGAGTCGCCACATCTGGCATGAGTCGCTGGAGATTTTAACTCCGCCCACTTTAAGGCCTTCGAGTCACGTTCCAACGCCATTTTCGACGTCCGATAAGCAAACCAATCGTAGCGCATTTCATCACTTCATCACCTGAATGAAAATACTATCTAGAGTAAGCGGCGGCCTACATCTATCGAAGAAAATACGAAAATTTAACCGAGAATTTACTCCATTGAAAGTGTTTGGCTAATCAGCATCTACTTGCATGTTGTAGCACGACTGTTCAATGCAAAGGATACACTCAGTCATATCGTACCCGTAATTCATATTTTGAGCCGCCACGGACAGCTCAACTGATAGTGTTGACCCATCTGAAAATTGAGAATTGTAGTTTTACAATGTTCTACCTAACAACATGGCAACAGCTGTTCGTCGGCTGATCTAAAATGCTGGTCCCGTTGCAGCAGAAATGGATTGCCGACAAAGTCCGGGCTTTAAGGGGATTATCGCTTACAGTTATACCGGAGGCCCTCCTTGGGCCCCTAGCAGAGGATGCCTGCAAAGCACGGCCGCTCCCCCGGCTTTCGCGAGAGCACCTGCTGCAGCCCACCACGCCTTAAGTCAATCCGGCGTACTGCAATGCAAGCCTGCAATCATTTCCAATATGTCCGTCGCCCCGGCAAGCGAGGGAAGAGCGGAGGCGAGCCGCCTCC